GTGGGGCATTCCGAGAATTGAACTCGGGACCTCTCGCACCCTAAGCGAGAATCATACCACTAGACCAAATGCCCATCGATGTTTAGTTATCTGAAACATATTTGAAGTATTTTACTTCGTAATAATATTTATTTTTAAATAACAACTTTTTAAGCATGACCCAACTGCATTTTGCATTGGTTCTACATATACACAGGATACATAAATAATGAACTTCATTAACGTCCATTTTTGCTTAGTTTTTCTATCGAGTATTGATTAATGTATTGCAACTTTGCAAGATTCAAATGTATGAATGTCGTAAAGCTTATAAATAAAAAATTAGTAATCTCTTAACGACACAATAGATGTGGATTGAATGCTACACTAAAGATTGTAGAACTATTTGATTCACCAACTCTACATGAAGATTGAAGAGGAAGATGAACAATAAATCAAATACATTTGAACAAAGATGCGCACTTCAAAATTCTAATGATGGTATTTTTGGCCTTTCAGAATAGTCCATGCTCTATAAAGCTGCTCAACAAGAACCACCAATGCAATCTCATGATTAAGTACCAAAGATGACAATTTTACCCTCAGATTAGCTCTCTCCCTCACTTTCATCCCATGCCCATAAGCCCCTCCAATGCAAAACACCATTCTTGAACCACTTCCTTTGTTTCCAGTTCCAGCATCCCCGATCAAGTCTGCCATTTCCTCAGACTTCAAATCGATTCCATTTTCATCCAACATCACCACCCAATCATCTTGTTTGATGAAATTCATGAAACCCATCTCTTCGCTTTCAATCTGGACCCTTGGATCGGTTGAGTTCTTGGGGTTGGATCGGATTCTGAGGTCGTGAATCGGGCAGTAGGGTTTGATTTTGTCCATGTAGTCCTTCACTATCAATTGGACTCCCGGCGATCTGGTTTTGCCGACTGTGAGGATGTGGATTGGGAGTGGTTTTATGGATTGGCCGGTGTATTTGGATCCTCGGGTTTTGGCACCGGAATTAGGGATTTGGAAGTTCTTCATGCTGTGGGTTGTAAAGACACACATCGCCATTCCTTTATCCACAAAATTCACCGGAGTTAGGGATATGATGGTTCTCAAATTTGAAGCTACAGGTTAAGATTATGTATAAGTTTTGATCTGCGGAAACAATTACTCAAATTACGTACTAAAAGTTGAGAAGTTTTTGTGGTATTTGCACGGTATGAGTTAGAGTTCAAAGCAACCTTTCTTGTAGGCAATTCGTCGAACAGTTAGCGAGCAAAGACTTACAAGCGAAAGTTTCGAGAGAAAACTTCAGCTAGAGGACGCTAGCAAGTAGCATAGTTTGAGCTTTCACTTATTTGGCAATCTATGGACAGTGAGCTGCGCGAAAAATCTTGCAAATTCCTCAAATATGCATGGGCGCAAGGATTTATAAGATGATAGATACTGATTGAAGTTTGAAGGAATGAAAAAGAACTTGTAGATCAAAAAAAAAAAAAAAAAACAATTGAGCCCGTCTAGCGTCTAACGTTTTCTTTTTTAGTCACATCATATTTTTTTTTAAAAAAAAACTACTAACATAAATAATTTCTTATTTTTTATCACTTATAAAAGTTTTTTTTAATAAGATAAAATTGCAAAAATGATCCATGCGGTATGCATTTTTTTGGGGTTTCAGTTCAAACCTTGATTTTTTTGGATTTATGATCCTTTTGGCCTAGTTTGTACGTAGAATTGGTCCTCCGACTTAACTTCCGTTAACTTTTTGCTGTTAACCCCCTCATGTGCCTCCCACATGAGGGTATATTTGTCTTTTCACTTATAAGGAAACATTTTTACACCTAAAAAAATATATTCCCATTTTTAAAAGAAAAAAATTAATACCTTTTTTTAGTTTAACAATTAAAAAATAAAAGTGGTCTCTCTCTCTCTCTCTCTCTCTCTCTCTCTCTCTCTCTCTCTTTTCACAAATAAACATACATAGCCAGATGAACTCATTCATCCTCCATCCTACTCTCTTAGATTTCCTGAATCTCCAAATTCACTCCCAAAGTCCTCTTTGTCTTCCTCAATAGCATGACAAGAACCATTCTCTTCACCTCCAACTTACCCAACCACAATTAAATAGAAGATCAAAAGGAAAAATCCCAATATATTTCAATCAACATGGATTCTCCATCCTCCACCATATCAGATCTTTCAACGTATTAAATCGGACCCTGAGGCAACCCCTCTTTTGCCACTACCTAATCATGAATCGAATCATGTTGAGCTGATGATCACATCCTGCATTATCATCAACAATCAACAGCCCTTGAAGTTAAAGAACAAATAGAATATCAATCGAGACTACAGACCTGAATCTTTGATCTGCCTTAACCTTTCTCTATTTGTAGTTATTTGCTTCGATTTATATTTCTTTAGAGTAAATTACATGTTTGGTCCTTGTGGTATGCTGATCTTTTACAATTCATTTTCATTGATATGCTGATTTCAATCAACCTTAATCCTCTGGTCATCATTTGTTCATCATCTTTACCTAGAAATATGAATTGATTTCAAAGCTCAAGAAATCAAACAAAAAAATGATGTGTACAGTTTGGGTGTGATTGTGTTGATCTTCGTGACCTACTTTCACAACAAAGACAAACTAACGAAATAAGGAAAGGATTTTAACAGACCTAATCGGACTTGGAGTGTCGGATTCTAACCACCACTCATTTATTCCTTATCTTGTTGATCGGGTTAACCGCCAGTTGAAAGATGTAACTCCTGTGTTTCTGGGCTTGCCATTTTTAGCAATGTAATGGTCTAGGTTAACCTTTGTAACCCGTTTTGAAATAATAAGATTGTATTATTTGAGTATTATGTGTTTTGTGCTTAATTGCTTAATTATGTGGTTTGATTAATTAAGAATTAAAATGAGCATCAAAACTTAAGTGTAAAATAAACTTGATATCTTTAGATAATGTTGTAGTAGTTGAAACAAGGTTTCCGAAGATATAAAGAATGCCGAAATCCGAGTTATAACGAGGAAGTTATGACCTGTCGAAGTTTCGCGACAGAACCGGCAACGCTGAATAACGTAAAACGTGAAATTTACGTTAAAGCGATATTTAGCCTTAGTGATCTAAACGAGAATCGAAGATCTCGTTGTTAGCATCAAAGCGATAAAAAGTTAGGCGAGAACGGACGTCAAACGAAGAACTTATGAATTTATAACGAAATTTTCTGTCCCGGCCTATTAAAAATAAATAATAAAAATAAAGTCAAAATCAGTCGACGGAGTCTAAACGAAAGTCGTAGAGCGTAGTCTCACCTTTCTGTGGATATAAAGAACGTCGAAAACGGAGTTCGTATGAAGAAGATATGAATTTCCGAAGTTTATTAATTAATTTGTATTTATTTTTAAATCAAAATTCGGAAGCATTATCCGAAGGCGAGTCACAGGTCTGATCCGACTTACGCGCCGCGTAAGTGAGTACGCCCCGCGTACTCCGAAGAGTGTCGACACTTCGGATGACGCATGCGCTTACGTTTCTGAGGCACGTACCCCCCGCGTACGCATGTACGCCCCGCGTACGAGAGGCTTCCAGCCTCCTATAAATAGGATGCGAGGGGTCCGGGTTTATTTGCTAATTTCCTCTCGTTTTTGTGCCGAACCTCTGCGTTTTTACCCCCAAAGTCATCCCGAAGCCCCGGTAATATTCCCGAGTCCCGAAGCGAGTCCCGAGATCCCGAAGATCCCGAGAAGTGCGGTTTCCGAGCCGAAGCTCTGCCCGCGAGAAGTTCGATTTTCGTAGAGATCTTCCAGATCTGCTGAGGATTACGACTTCTGCAAGCCGTAGTGCTGTCCGATCATCTTCAGATCAAGTGAGTGTATACTACCTTTCATAAACGCAATAATAATACAAGTATGGTTCGAGGGTATTAAGTTTATTGTCGTTTATACGTGTGAATGCGTTGTTACTTTCTCGTAACGTATAACTATGAAGTATTTTATACGAGATACGTGTTATGTGTATATTTTGTTGTTATGTGTATGAATGTATATTCACTTTCTTCTATCTTACAGATCTGATTATTTCTATACGAAATACGTGTTATGTGTGTGTGCCTCATCTGTTATATGAAAAAATGTATTGATCAAGCATGCTATACAGGTTTTGAAAATATGTATAAAAATGTATGTTTTTATCTACTAATATGTTGGGTAGAACATGGGTAGATAGTTGGTGTGTAATAAACAGATGAGAGGCCTCGTTGTTGTTTTGATCCAGTCATCTAGCGGAATTTAGATGACGACCACGGACTTTTCTAGACAGTCCAGTGGAACGCTATCAGGCTCATAACCTGTAGGTGTTAATGAACTTGGGTGTTCATTCGCTGTATTCCATCCCCCTCATGGTTGCCTTATTTGACTTATATTGCTGAGGAAACCCCGCAACATGTGTTGTCACCCCGATGAAAATATTCTTAGATTAGGTCCCTTGTGTTAGTTATTTTAGGGACGTAAAGTGAGAATAACGGGAATGGGTAACTGGGTTATTGTTGGTTGATAATAATTAATTTAATTATTTATTGTGGGTTGAAAACCCTATATGCTCACCAGGCTCCCAAGCCTGACCCACTCAGTTTTATTTGTATTACAGGAAGTGGTGCAAGGGCGTAAGATGGATGAACCATCAAGTTGTTTTGTTTACAAGTCTACATATGTTTATATTTGTTATATGACTTGTAATGTATTCGTTTATGCTTATTGGTCTGTATCGGAACATGACACCCCGAGTTTTGATTATAATGAAAATACATTTCTTTTATGAAATGCTTTGGTAAACATTGTTTTATCATGTTTTGTTTTTGGGAACAAATTCCGCAACTCTTTCAAATCAAAAGGATTTACTCTGAAAATATTTAAAAGCATAAATGAAAATCGGTCTTTTCTGGTCGAGATTTTGGGGATGTCACAAAAGATGTTGTACAACACCCAAGCGATGACTGGAACTTCAGAAAGCTCATTCACACAGGTGCTCAATCGAACTGATTAGGGAAGAATAAGATCGGAAGGAACAAGGGATGCTTAAGCATTGATTTGCAAAAGATAATGAAGGAAGGAATATCCGAGGGAAACAGGTAAGCTGCGGAAGCAACTTCATTAAGGAAAGGTGCGAAGATGTGATGAAGAACTGAAGGAGGTGGCGAGGCTGCTCCATGGCAAGCCTCATCGTGGTTTCGTTCTCGTCGTCATAACAATGATTCGGAAGGGAATCAGAGTAGCTGCAATACCAACGATTGAGGTGAAGTGTTTGGGGTTGTGCTTTTTCGACTGTAGGAGGGTTGTAGAGGTGTTGAACATCGATTGCAGTCGTCGAGAGGGTTGTAGCTCCTTTTGATCTCGCAGGAAACAACCATCCCATGGCGTGTTTGTTTGTTTGGTGCTCGACATGGGATTTTGGGTTATGCTTCTTCAACAATGGTGTTTGGGAAGAATAAAAGGAGAGAGAGAGAGAGAGAGAGAGAGAGAGAGAGAGAGAGAGAGAGACCACTTTTATTTTTTAATTGTTAAAATAAATAAATAGGTATTATTGTTTCTTTTAAAAAGAGGATATATTATTTTCAGATGCAAAAATGGTCCCTTAGAAGTTAAAAGACAAATATACCCTCATGTGGGAGGCACATAAGGGGGTTAACACCAAAAACTTAACGAAAGTTAAGTCGGGGGACCAATTCTACATACAAACTAGGCCAAAAGGACCATGAATCAAAAAAAGTCGAGGTTTTGACTGAAACCCCAAAAAAATGCATTGAGGGTTCAAGTCACGTCGTGAACATAGGTGGATTTAAGGTGTAGTTTAGGAGTAGGTTAGATTTGCCGTTTCAAAAAAATAAAAATAAAAATAAAAAAAATAATAATAATTGGATAATTGATCCATAAAAATTATCCTTGGCGAAAAAATGAAAGTCTCGTTGTATGGTTGATTATTTGTAATTGACCTTTCATAAATAAATAAATAAAAACCTTTTATTAATGATGCTATGAAGGGATATCTCGCATTCTGATTTTGAAACACTAAATATAATATTAACTTATGATGTTTGATGGGATAATGTCACTTAATACAATGAGGTTTTGGGTTTGGTCTTTGATAATTTATATTATTTTCTTGCGCAATAAGCAATCTAATTTTTATGGTACATATCAATTAAGCAATTATGGTTAATTTTTAATCATTCCTCTCTTAACTAGTTGTATTAAATTACAAAGAATGACTCTTATGGTTAAAATTTTATTCATAGTTGGTCATATAAGTAATAAAATTCGTCATTTTTGAAAATCAGGCAACCAAACTGTAACATTCTCATCGTGTATAAAATGTTTGTATCGTCACTCTAGGGACCAAATGTACAGAATGTTTGTGTCATCATGTTTCAACATCAGATTTGGAAGAACATTGAGTATCAAAAAACAAGTTGTAGTTATCAAGTAAACCTTTTCTCGTGGCATTACCTTCTGAATTAACTCTTAACTAGCTACCGGAATCGACACCAAAAAGGACTTTGAGGCTAATTCGTTTTAACTTTCAGACTCGCCCATCGCCGGAGCATGTGGTCCAGGGAGTTGAGATTTTTGTGGTTCCTTTACAAGAGGAGCAGGTGGTGACTTGTTAGAAGATGCCAATGGTAGCACTAACAGAGGATATGACTTATAGGGAGCAGTGAGAATCGGTGGCTTCGAGTTTGCATCGGATCCTTTGCAAGTTTGAAAGGTGTCGAGTTTTTATATTTTAATTACTTTTTCGATTCTGAATGTAGCTTCTTTGAAGTTTAGAATGAGGTTGTGGCCTTGATCTTCACATTCCTTGGCCATGTTTTAGGAGCTTCGACCGCCCATTCCGCCACCCAAGTCGAATAATGATTCGAAGGTATCAAATGGGTTACTAAAATCTTGGTTGGATTTGATTAATATGGGAAATTTTTAGAAGAGAACGACTGTGATGTGAAAAATTTGTTGATTTTAATGATTTTTTTGGTGGATTAAACTTACTCTGTTACCTAACACATTTGAGTACGACCTCGCTATATCGGTATCGTTTATCATCGTCTCATAAAACTTGCATTAAGAAGAAAGAGGATTTTTTTTCATTTACTATAGATGTGAGATTTTAAAAAATGATGAATTTAATTTACTAGTTTTGGGACTAACTACGAATAAAATTTTAACCATAGGGGTCAATCGTGTAATTTAGAACAACTAGTTAACGGATAAATGGTTAACAACTAACGACAATGACTTAATTGACATGTACAATAAAAGTGAGATGGTCTATTGCACAAAAAAATAACATAAATGGTTAAATCGGACCAAACTCAAAACTTCATTGTGCTATAGTGTTATTATCCCATGTTTGATAATCGGGTTTATAACTAGAATACCAAAATGGAAATTAGATATCATAAATATATAGAAAAGACTATGTATTTTACAAAAGGATTCGTGAGTTGAAGTACAACAGTCCCTATATAAAATGAATTCAGTTTTTGTTATTTTTTTAGCACGCACATGTGATCAAAAGCGTATCAACAAGTGACAATCTACATTTTTATGTTGATGTTTGTTCTATCAAAAGCGTCACTGTATAATTTAATATATTTTGAGCAGGAATGGATCGTGTGGACGATAGTAGCAGGGCCTGTGTTATCGAAAACACATGATTCATGCTCGAGCCAAGAGAAGTCATAGGGATGCCAATGAACTGAGTGTAGTGATACTTACATTGTTATATGTTTATTATTAAATAAACAATGGTAATCTTAAGGTTTCCCCATTTGATTACGAAATGAGATTACGAGAAATGGTGCGTCAGGATCTGCTACTGTTTAAGAGATGCATTCGATTATGTATCGTGTTACACAAAAAAGTATCTAGATCTAAATTTACATAATTAACATCCACAAACACTCTCGATGTTACATCTCTCAAGCACACCTCTACAAGTGGTATGAAACTCACCTCATATATAGGTGTTTACATCTCTCTCTCTCTCCATATATATATATATATATATATATATATATATATATTATCATGTCACAAGGCTAATGTACTATATGCAAGTGGGTCTACAAAAGTCAAACAATTGGTGCCTTCGACTCATGGATATAGTGAGAAGACTCACCTTGTATTGCTGAAACAAACAGAAAATCCCTAGCTGCTGGCTAACAGATCCTCGAACTATCAAAGTTTAAACAACACAAAATCACTAATTGGGTTCCAACCCATACAAGGGGTAAAAACACTATTTTACCCATAATGTATCTTGGTCTAAGACTAAGGCCCAAACTCATAATCAGAAAGGCGCAAAGGCTAATTAATCCATCAAGGCCCAAATATGGACCAATTTTCTAAATTGGGCCTAAGACTAAGGCCCAAACTTGGAAAATTGGTCCATATCCCAACCATTCTTCCTAGTCCAAAACACTTGTACTCAGATAGACCATTAATAACCCAACAACCAAGCCAAAAAGAAAGCCTAACTTGAAGCCCAAAATGTAAAATCTCATCTCACTGAGTACGCCCCGGGTACCTAGTGGGTACGCTAAGCGTACGCCCAAGAAACCCAATACACCCGCGTACGAGGAGGTACGCCCCGCGTACTGACCCTGCCCACAACCAACCTAGAAAACGTCTTAATCCTTTAAGACAAGACATCCAAAGCCTCAGAATAGCTAAATATAAGTGACTTGATCCATAAAGTCGAAGGCTTTAAACCTTTGCATGGCTTAATGAAGCCCAGTCACCAAAGATGAATTCCAAAGGTCAAAATCACTCCAAAATGTCTTAAAAACTTCTTAATACATTAAGACCTTAGTCTAAACTTCCAGATCTAATTCAAAGGAACTTCTTAATTCATACAATTCCTAACTTTATGACTTAGCATGACTTAATGGGCCCCAAATCAAAACCCTAAGTCCCAAGCTTCACCGAAAGACTACCAAATCATGCATGGAAGGTTTATACTCATCAAGATCCAAACTTTATGACTCCATAACCCCAACAAAGGCCAAATATGAAGCTTAAAGGTTCTATAGTAACTTTTACTCACAAGAACCACCACAAAGGGACCAAAATCATAACAAAGTGTCACCTAGCTAGATCTACAATAAAGAGTTGTCAAGGTTGTGTTTATACCTCCAGAAGTTAGATCTTGGTGAACAAAGCATGGATCGAAAATCTCCAAGTCAAGCAATGACTCTTCAAGAAGTTCATTCTTCCTCCTCAAGAACCAAAAACACACATAAATCACTTTGAAGCTCAAAAAACGCTCAAATGGGGGCTAAGGGTCGATTTCTAGGGTTTAGAGGGATGGAGGCTGAAGATATTAAGGTTAGGTTAGGAGATTAGGAGCTTAAATAAGGTCCACGACCTTAAAATAGGGTTATGCTCTGACTAAAGTATGCCCAGTGTACTCTGTAGAGCACCTGCGACCATCCTGATTACTACACCAAGCATATATTGAGGCACGCCCCGCGTACCCTTTTTGTACGCCCTGCATACCTGGCTAAACCTTAAAACCACCAAACTTCCGAAGGCCATATATATATATATATATATATATATATATATATATATATATATATATATATATATATATATATATATATATATATATATTGTTATAAGTCTGTTTCTAGCAATCCTTATATCCTCGGAAAGGTAACGAGAAGCCCTACACTTCTATCAACTCATACTAGCCTTAGGACCTTTCGAAGAAAAATCCAATTTCCATAAAAACCTGAACTGACACTTTACCGAAAAACCCCTAGGCACCAAAACACGAACCAAACACCCGGATCACTTCAATTACATCACCCACACCCAAATGGGACTAGATCTCACATACTCAAAGTCCCTAAGCCGTATGTCTATTAATACTAGAAGTACCATTTTTGTCGGATCTGGTTTTAAGCAACATGCCACACTTTTTACATTTGATATGTCTAACGTTGTCAATATGAACTACATCATTATTAGCCAAAGAAGCCTCCCTTTTCGCATGTTTCCTTTTCTTCGTGTTTGTTGTTTAACTTGTACTGACTTTCTTTTTAACTTGAGTGTTATCAAAAAAACACACATTCATCATCAATCTAAAGCATGACACATTTAATTGGTACATTAACATAACATATTTATAGATTAACAATTTTAACATAATACATTGAATTTGATATAATATAATAAGAATTTGATATAATAAAATAGCGATATACTTCTGTATATCACCATAATACATTTAAAGAATAACATAACACAATATAGCATTGAAAGGATAACACTTACATATTAGATTAAAATAATGAAGCTTAATTTCTTACTTGAGTTTCTTGACTTGGAACCAATTTTTCATGACTAGACAAG